CCGACTCGACGGCACTTAACAACAACTCTTTAGTATAGATGGTATTTGCTTCTAGGAGGTGAGAACTTTGTTTCATGTTTTGGCTATTTTGGGAGCATTTAATTGTTTACCACTTAAATCTAAAAGGCACAGAATCTCAAACAATATTTATTGACTTGGCCTTGGCTTGGTGTACATAACATTCAATAGCCTAAATCCTGACCTTGAACATCTAAAACACACGCAAACATGTTTTCTCATGCATTAACACCGATGTTCAGAAACTATCTGCTTTACAGTTTTAGAGGAAATAAATACAAATTAATATAACATTAGACCATATGATTCATTTACCTCAGAATGTTAAGGCTTAGTTATCAAAAACTGCTAATTCATAGAAGGCAACAGCTTGTAACAGTGAATCATATAACTCTTCTATTCTGTTTTGTTCAGTAGATGAAAACATCTGTCTGTACTGGACTACTTTATGGGATGGGAAGGACACTCGCGGCTCTGCCTTCAGTACAGACTCGGAGAGGAGCTGCTTCACTAGCTCTTTTCCGCTAGTCCTCGTGTCGCCGATCATTAATTCAAAGTGCTTCCCTACTGCATTTCGGTTCATGCTCAACACCTGGTGCTGGCCAGCCTGGGCAAATGTTTTATTTAGTAAGGTGTACAGCATGGCTTCAACGATATGAAAATGTAATAGTATCGGAAACAGCGATGAGTTCTGAATCGGAAGTCCTATTTTTTCCAGAATATAGAAATCGGCTTTAGGCATCTTTGAAATTACTGAAGACATCTTTAAGAAAGGAAAAACAAAATCATTCATGAGGTTTTACTGTTTAGGTCCCTTCTCTATTACTTATATGGAGGACTCAGAAGAGCTGAATTCTGGGCGTGGTTCTATAGAAAACAAGCTGTCTAGTCCTCTGAAGTACCAATGTCTTCACCTGGCAAATGGGCTCCATTATTTCTAAATTCCATTTTGGCTTTAAGATCAGACAGTCTAAAACTGGGTTATTAAGCTTTTAAAACTTTCTAGGGTTGAGTATAGGATTAGACTAATTAACGTAGAATCGATCAGCTCTGTAACTGATTAATCATGTCATAGAACTGTGTGAACCACAGATTTCACATGTGAAATCAAGGTGATAATTCCCATGGCATAAGGTTTGGAAGACTCACATTGTATGTGAATGAATTTTGATAAATTGGGCTTTTATAAATACAAGATAGTGATAATTTAAACACAAAATATTTAGAATAATATATTTGACCATGAAACTAAGTGACAAAAAAGTCATTTAAAATTATCACAGGCAACAGGTGAGTAAAATGCACCAAAAGAAAATCTAGCATTATTGCCTTCTTACACTCGTTTTGGAACTAGAAGATTAACCCATCCTAGGATTCTAGGAGACAAGAACATGGAGATGCAACCGTCTTACCTCCTCTAAATAGACAGATGACAGGTAGGTCCCTTTCATCATTTTGCAACTTTCATCTTGCTGCCAGTCCAGTACTGTCATTTTACAGTCAAGGTGAGCCCAAGCAATTCTCCGTGTACCAAAAACGATAGATACAATACTATCAACTGCCTGAAACAAAAAGGCTGGCTTAATTAGAAATATGAACATTTTAACAGACACAAAGTTTAAGCTACAATCTCAGGATGCCTAATCAGTTTATATAATGTAAACATACTTATAGTTTATGAACAAAAAAACGTGACAGTGTTAAAGGAAAGAAACAGATAATGGAAGCAGAACTTATACTTGGGGATAAGAGAGGAGCCTAGGAGAACTCTAGTTTGATCTCCATGATTGGATGGCATAACTAATCAAGACTATGTGCACGGTTTTGTGTACATTATTGTTGTTAAGTGCTGTCAAGGTTCTCAAATATTTAGTCAATACAACAGATAGTAAGAAAAGTGGCCTACCTTAAGTCTCTCTCTTCCTATGTCTGGTTTGATGAGCTTTCCCAAGATCCGGTTTTCCTGTAATTTTCTTTTTTTCCTTCCAGTCTCTGGATAAAGAATGGAGTTACAAACTTGAATGGCAGTTTTATACTGGAACAAGGGCACATTTATTAAACTCTCCAAATTCTGAAATGGCCCAAACTTTTCTCTGTGCTCTATAATATTGAGGGACTTCCTTCCACGAAGCAATTTGAAAGCTTCAAGATCTTTATCCGATGCTGTGTTCAACACATGCAAGATGGAAGCCTGCTGTTCTGAAGAGAAGAGCTTCTCAAGTGCAATTCCAGGCTCCTTTGTATTTTCATCACTAAAAGCAATTGAGGGAATACTTTTCTTAGGTGCAGTAGACTTTTCTCGACAGCAAGCATTGCGTAGGGCTTGGAATGGGGATGACCCCAATGGAGCTGGACAGCATCTCCATCTTACTAAAAGGAAAATGTAGCAAAATATATAAGTTCAGATGTCCTACTTCCTTCTAGTATTAATTGTAGACCAAAACAAATCTTTCGCAAAGTGTAACACAAGCAAAGTGGGATACACAACCCTTAATCCCATCCATCACCACCTCGTTAAGTTTAAGAACTAGTCGGCCACACTAAATTCTGGAAAATCATCTTTTAAATAGGTTTAGTTTTAAAACTATTTGTCTTTTAAAAATAGGGGTTTTATGTTTAGTCACTAAACATAAAAAGTCCTGATTTTTATGGACCAGTACTAAATTTTTCTACCTAGAAATTGTCTTTTATGCCCATTTAGAAGCACTTAGTTAAAAGAAAATTTAAATGGCTTAGCACTTTTGATAGCATTTTTAATTTTACAGACACCTTTTCATAGTTAATATCCCATTAAGAACATGAATCCTTTCACTACAATTTGATAAACTTAACCTATACTTATGGATGTAATAGCTCAAAATACCAACTGAAAGGGAAGGAATCTTTACATCAAGATCAGTCCTATCCCCCCTGTATACAGGATTTAAAGGGACATTGGCTATCTAAAATGGTTTGGGGCTATAACGGCACAAAGTGACTGGCTTTCAAGCTATCAAGCAGGAGTTTAGTTTCAGAGGATGCAGAGGAAGGTAGAATCCCCACTGAATAGTTTTCATCTTGTCTAGATGGGTCTGGTGAAAGGAGATGGGGATAGGATTCTTGTGATTCCATAGTGAGTAATTGTGATGGTCACAACTGTAAAGGTAGAAGTTCTGTAACAAAAACAGGGGAGTAGATAATCTTACATTCCAGGAACAGAGGACCCTAGGACCATCAAGGGAAAAGAGCATGAGCGGAATGTAGGAAACCCTATACAGGGTCGCTATGTGTCGGAACTGACTGGATGGCAATTCACAACAACAATCCAGAGAAGCAGCTACACCAGCGATGGAGGCAGAGATGAGGACATGGAGAGAGAGAGCAGCTGAGGACTCTAGTCTCATGAAAGAGAAAGACTGAGTGCTGGCGGCCAAGGTGCAGGCTTGCAGAATGTGCCCTTTGGTTGCTGAAATGATTATATAGTCCTGAGTGTTTTTGTGTACACCCAAAACAACCCCAGAAGGAATAGAAGCAAATACTGCTGAATGATGATGGGATTGTAATCATTGCAATGAAGTGAAACACGATAGGATGAGTGCAAAACCGATGTTCTCCCAGGTAAAATATCACTCAGTAATTCACAGTCAAAACTTAAAAAACAAAACAAGAAGATGTATCCTTTCTTTTTCACTACAGTTTCTCTTTCATCTGGTGGGATCAAATGCAGTTAAAGTTTATAGGTAATGTTAAGAATGAATGGTAGATTTAAGGGCGGCTTTTATTTTTTACCCTTCAATATTTCTACCAGGATTATGTTTTTGCAAGATGAAAAGACATACAAGCAGTCATTTTGTAAAACGAATGGGAAGTCACTCTTACACCTCAGTCAGAGGAAAACAGTGAGGCAGAAGTAAGCAACTGGCGGTTCGAATCTGAAGTTTTCGTTCCGGGAGCCCCTGCCCAGGTAAGCCCACGTCTTCTAGGACTGGGGTCCGACGCCTCCCGGTCAGCAATGCTAGGCCTCCGAGAGGACGGCGTGAGGAGTGGGACCTAAGGGGAAAACCTGTCTAGCACCAGGACTGAAGGCAGACGAGAAGTTAACTCAGCACTCTACCCTACCTCCAGCCAACAGAAGACTAGGAAAGTTCATCTTCCAAGATACATCAGTAAGCTACTGCGAGACTACCCCCGCCACTGACTTCCGGTCCTTGTGAACCGCCCAAAAATGCTCGGGCGGAAATCGGCGGGAGGGTTCCGGCTGAAACCGCGTTCCGGGCTAGTCCGAAAAGCGCCGCAATCGGCGCAAGAGACTGCCACTCCGCTTGTCCCCTGCCCCTGGGGGGCTGCGCAGCGTTGTCCCACTGCTTCGGGGGAACGTTAGCCCCGAACGGGCCCTCACAGTGGGAGTGGGAACTCCTGGTTCGAATCTCTGAAAAACCTACGTCAGTTTAGGTTCGTAATTCGCAAGGCTTCGTTCCGCTGACCTTGTTTTTCGCACTTTAATGCTGATTCTGCAGCCCCATACCAGAAGTCCAGGTTGAGCCCTGGTGGTGGTGTGTGCCTTGGCATAGCGCCCGTACAGAAAAGCCTTATCTTTGTCCCGTGGAACAGCTGGTAGTTTCGAACTGCTGACGTTGCGGTTCACAGCCTGATTCGTAACCACTATGCTACCTGAGCCCTCCACAGTTTGTGAGGCTAAAAGCCCAAATTCAGTGTCAGATCTGTAGAAAAGTCCTTGCCTCCTTTCAGCATTTGTAGAACCAGCATTCCTTGGAGAGCTCCGTGAATCATGACATCACTAGTTCCCTGGATCTAGGAACTTCACAGTACAGGCACCCCAGGTTCAAAGG